GCATCCAGGAAGGGATGCAAACCCAAAATCCTATGAACCTTATAAACTTATAGACCCTACAAACCCTATAAACCCTATAAACCTTATAAACCCTACAAACCCTATAAAACCTACAAACCCCATAAACCCAATAAACCCTAAACTCTAGACCCTAAGCCACCCAGAAGTCCAAGTCTCAGGAGTGCATCCTGTAGTGCACGCATGGTGGGATACACCCGCATGATGTTGCCACTCTCCTTGGCTAAGGTTTACCCAAGGGCTCCTGCGTAGTTCCTTTTCGTGTGGCCATGCTTTTTGGTAAGGGATTATCATATACCACCCAAAAAGGAACTAGACAGGAGGGTCTGGGTAGCGTTGAGGGTCCAAGGTTCAGGGATTTGAGATTTGGGCTTTGGGGCTCAGGATTGAACATCCAGGGCTTAAGCCTTTCAAGTACGTTCAGAATCTAAGGTTTAGGGGGGCTTAGGGTTCCGCATTGCGCTCAGGGTTGAGGAAGGAAACCAGGGGTTGAAACTAACATGACTCCTAAGGGGATAGTTTGGGAATAGCTTCTCTCTAATGGTGGGAGGACATCTGGGGGTGATGTCTAGCCTTCAGAGGGCAGAGGATTTAACTATGCAGCTTTGAAGGACGTTGAAGCCTGAAGCCTACAGACCCCAAACCCATGAGGTAGGTTGCCAAATTTTGACCCATTTCAGAGTCCCCAATACAATTGCAAGGTGCTGCTAGCTTCCTGATACTTCGACATCACATCGCGCAATTATGGCAAAGTCTAACTTCTGCTGAGAGTCTTGGTACATGCGTACCAATGGATTGCTAGCCCGGATGAAGCCCAAGATCACGCCCGCTGGTGTATTGTTGGCCTGCCCAAACCAATTCTGCATGTACTCCTAGCATGCGTCATGGGTCCAGAAGGGACCCACACTTTGGAGATCAAATCCTACACCCAAACCCTAAACCCTACTTCAAGTTGAGGTGTGGGGGAGGTTGGCATGACTCTCACGGCTCCGGAAAGCTAAATTCTGAATTTTCTCACTTCTGCAACCATTCATCATGTTCCCGAAGAACGCTGCACTACGCTGAAGAAGCCTATAACCCCCCTACAATTCCTACATACTCCCCTATTAATAATCCCATGAACCCGCCCCCCTAACTCCCCCAAGGAGGAGGCGAGGCCTGCTCGTAGGTGCAGGACAACATCCAGCTCCTCAGCTGAAGGGCACCCCGAGGGAGCCCCCAGCAAGGACTATGCCATAAGCCCTCTTCTTACTGGGGTTAGAAGAGAATTCGAAAATCAAGTATGTAGGGATTTTATCTCTTGACTCCATAAGAAAGACCAGTAAGCTTTAGGGTTTAGAGCTTTGCGTTCAGGGGATTAGGGTTTAGGATTTAAAGTCTAGGCTGTCGGGAATTTAGTATTTAGGGGGTAAGGGTTTAGGGTCTTGGTTCATTCTCCGCTGAAACGTGATGGAGAACCAGATGGGGAAGACAACAAAACATAAAGTGTGTAAAGTATGGTTACATAGGCATCACATAGAAATATCCCCACGTAAAATAAACATCCCCAACCTGCTAATGATGCATCTTCCTATTATAGTATACAACGATATAACAAGAAATATCTAATTCTGAGGGTACCTGGGGGGTGATTATATGGAAGGGAAAGGACTACGTAGTTTTACCCCAAACCCCACCATCCTAAGCCCTATAGCTCAGGTCTGAAGTGCAATTAGTTCTCACTCCATTGCAATCGCTTTAGCAGCTGTATGAAAGATAGACAAATGGAACCTGTCGCTGTAACACAGCCCTGAACCCATGTATGCTGTCCCTGGGGTCTATGATATGATATGAGGGTTTCACGAAATTAGGGACACCTTTAAACAGGGTTTTATAAGGCATATAAAGGGGGATTTAGGGTTTTAGGGTTTTAAGGGTTCCCGAAATTAGGGATACCATTTCAGGGATCCTTCTAGCAAAAAGAGAGTCTATATTAGGGTCCCCCTATTTCGGGAAACTACCATACAGGTCTAGGGACTTCATGTAATTTCTGGCTTTGGATGATGAAAAGCTCAAGCACTCACCTGCAGCAAAGACTAATCATCCCAGGCACAAGTGCAAGCTGTAGATCTGATAGGCCTCATGCCTTTCATGGCAACAGTCTGCCGCAAGCTAACTGGAACCCTAGAGGGACTCGATTTAACCGGGGGGTTGTCCTTTTTTGGGTCCTCTTGGGGTTTTACCTTTCACCATGAGGATAGCCTACCGGATCCTGGGCAAGATTCCAGAGCTGCAAGTTCACAGATTTCAAGAGGGCTGGTAAACGTATGTGTCGTTGTCAAATTTTAAAGCTCTGCCTCTTCTTGAAGCCTTCCTGATGGTTTAGGGCGTAGGGTTACTATGGGGGATGGAGGAAATCTTGTACCAGCCACCACAGATCCCCAACGTATTAAATTCTTAGCATATCAGATGTAGTTGTTGAAACAAGGAGTTTAGACTATGGCCAATATATTCGAGTGAACATTTCCGCCTAAACCCAACAGCCACCCAAATTTTGGCATAAGGTCCAGAGCGCCCCGATGCTCTGAGAGGCCGGGTATGGCAGTTTCCATACATAGCGGGATCCCCATATAGACCAGAAAATCCAATAATCCTTATTATATGGACCTCCAAAAGGTAGTCCTAACCCTGGGAAGCCCCATATTCTCAAGCCGAAAAAGATTCAAGGGGCCGTAGACATGAACAGGGATGACAATGTAATCGTAGGGTTTTTTGCTATTACAAAGGATTGTAAGGGCAGTTTAGAGAAACTTCCTTATAACATCCCCAAACCCTAAACCCTCAACCCTAAACCCTAAACCCCTGAACCCTAAACCCCAAAGCCTAAACCCTGAACCCTACACCCTACACCCTAAACCTAAACCCTATAACATCGCCCAGGTTGCTGGTGTAGGCCATGGCGTGTCATGTAGTCCAGGAAGCTCTCTCCCTCCAACTCCTACAAGGTCTCAAGGAGTGCAGCCATGGAGAGTCGAGTAATCTAAAGAACTTCTACCCCCAGACCCTAAACCCATTTACGGCTCAATGTAGGTACTAGTTATAGGGTTTAGGGCCCAATAGAGGTATTATTTATACTAAGCCCTATAAGCCCATTTAAGGCTCCATAGAATATGGGGTATATTTGGATCTAGTGAATTTTTCCCAAAGCCATATTCTACCTATCTAAGGGGGACTATAACTCCTTGCGGAAAAAGACCGTGAACATGAGCTTTGCCAGGTACGGCACGTACTTCCTTTGCAATGCGAGGACAACAATGAACAAAAGGTTTGAGTTCATCAAAAAGAGGGGCACCTAGGGACCTTAGGGTTATATGGGAATAATGGAGCATGCTTGGGGTCCTTATTCGGGAATATATCGAGTCGAGATCAGGTCATCTTCACGGCCAGCACCACTTGGACACCAGAAATGCTGTTTGATCATCCCAGCCAAAGCCGGGTGTCGATGAAGGAATCCCAAAATGCAGTTACTCTTGCATACCAACGAACCTGTAAGATCGATTTTCGACGAACCCCTGTTAGAGCCTGAAATGAAGTTAAGGCAAGGCCTCAGATGCTGAGATATGTGTCCCAACCAGCTTGTCGAAGTGACCAGCAGCATGTCACCTCCCCTTTGATAGGAGGCATTGTACGGCACCTCACAGATCTTCTTTGCCAGGGCAGAGGCTGTTGGGCTAGACTGTATGGCAAGTCGTGTATAACGTAGGGCTACAACCACGGGAACCGTGAATTTCTACAAGCTGACATGGCGACGCAGTGGGGATTTGGGGCGACTTGTCCATACAAAGAACCAGTAGCATCCGGACAAGTGCGGTGTTGTGGATTCTATTGCAGTACGGATGGGTACTTCTTACGGGCGTGATTACTCTCAGGATCCAATGAGCTTCTGAGATTCTGGTAGTCCGCACAGGTTACCCTGAATCGTAGACTCTTACAGAAGCATTCGGAAGCCTTCTGACATGAGGTCACTCAAAAAGTGGGATGCCCTCAAGGATCCACAGGGCTTCATAGCGGCCATTAGAGAATCGTAGGGGTCAATCGGGAAGCTCCCAATGGCCCAAACCTTGCTAGGCCTTCCAAGTGGTGAGTGTTTCATCAAAACCCTGAAGCTCTAAGCACCTAAACCCCTTCCTACTTGAAGGATCAGGGGACTTGGTAAGTAACTTAAGCTATACATGGGTTAAAATGACCCAAATTGGAGGTAGCCTAAAATTGGTTAACCAACTTACTAACTTCCTTGGACCTTCAAATTAGGCCTTAGAGAACAGCCTCGTGCTGCTTGGGACACACCCTGCCGAAGACACACAAATGGCGCATGGCCATACCGCCGTCTAAATTGAAAACCTCGAAACCCTGAACTCCCAAACCTTAATCCCCAAACCCCAAAGCCCCAGACGCCACCCTAAACCTAAACCCTAAACCCTAAAACCTACAATGTCACCTTCAAGGCCAAATCAGCCGAAGCGCTGCCCGAACTGGGATTCCCAGCTCTTTGATAACCCCAAGCAAGTGGTGGTAATAATGCGGCATCATGAAACGCAAGGGCACGTCTACCTGGGTTTATGGTCTTTCTCAAGCTCTGGTTCCTAAGCATGTCGTCTCTGTTCTATGAAATGGATTCATGAGAAAAGGACTTGCGGAAAGTTCGATTCGATCAACATCAAGAAGCAACTCTCACTTATCATGCTGCCGTTTGAAGTTTGCCGGCTCCCCAAGATGCTAGGGGCCCCAACACTCAGGAATCATCCAGTCCTGCAAAATCTAACATACAAGTTGTACTACCATGCATGCTTACTTCCTTATTGGGTATGCGACACAGCATCAGGAGGCCCTGCGGGTGCAACAGGTTTTTTGTTCCCGAAGTCAGGCAGTTGGTCAGGGGCTCATAGCAATTGGGGGTTAGAGATTGGGTGCTTTAAGGAACCAACCATACCGACTATCATACGAGATAATTCAAGGTCGTTCGTTGCCCTGAAGGGTAATTGCAGGCAGTAGGACCTCTGTGGATAACTAAGGGGATCTTACTTCCCCCGATCCCTATAATAAGGACCCTATAAGTATTAATTATGTGACTGTAACAGGGTCCTAATTTCAGGGGTTGGGGTAGCCAACCCTAAACCCTAAACGCAAAGCTTTGTTGACAACGGCAGGTGGGCTTGGGGATCTGACTCAGCGGGTTTCTTGTCAACTCCAACTACTCAAACCTAAATTCCCGAGGCTCAAGCCCTTAAGTCTCAGTCCCTCGATGATATATTTTCAGATATTTTCAGTATACTGGGGTTTAGGGCCCACATACTATAATATTCATGGTATTCGGGCCCTAAAACCCTATTAATTATTGGGGTCCTTGGACTCTTGGATATACAACCTTCTCCCTAAGGCTTGAAATCTAAATCGAAGCTGACCCAGCTGCTGCGACGCCGGGGGCCAACTCCTCTTGCAACCCGACGAGGCCACACTTTGGACCGGCCTCCTAGGCAGTGCTCACATTAGGGTTACAAAGAGGTTGCGTAGGTGTTCTGTAGGGATTATGTATCTATATATATATATAATATACACGAGTTATAAAGAGGTCACGTAGCGATATCTAGTTGTCATGTAAGCGGGTTCATAGGGTTTAGGGTTTAGGAATGTTCGGGGGAGGAATGGAAAAAAAGATGGAAGCTACTATTTGTAGACGGTTTAAGTGCGCTAGGGTTTGAGGAAGAGCCCAGAGTAGACGCCCGTTTCAGGGGTTATAGGGTTCCCTTGAAAAGGATATACAAAGATATAGGGCTTAGGTCTACTTACGGTGTACGCCATCCAGAGAGCCCAAAACTGGTCTTATTTCTAGGCGCAGGAGCCTAAAATAAGCAGAATTTGATAGACTTAGATCCCCAGGGTAAGGATTTTGTTGAGCAACGCTCTGGACGGCAACAGGCTTTGCTTATCTTCCTGCGTTGCCAGGGCATGAGGATCGCAGAAGGCCTATGGGCATTTAGGGGTTATGGGATATGGGGTGTCCCAAAATTACGGGTACCATTTTGGGGGTCCATATTCTGAGGATTCAAATATTTAGAGGTCTATATTGGGTCCCCGTGTTTTGGGAAACTACCATACGTGGTGTTCAGGTCTGTGTTTTTTTGTTTTTTTTTTTAATGTACGGGCTTTGGACTGCTCTTCCGTGGGAATGCATGACACGCACTTTTCTTCACACTGGCCCATGTGAAAATTAAACCCGGACCTTCGCTGCCGTAGCTACATGGTTGGGAAAAACCCTAGCAGCTGGCCCTAAACTTCCAGAACCCAATGAACTATCATGCTTAGCAGCAAAGCCAAGAGTCCAAAGCCCTGGACTCAGTTTTGTGTTCAGAGACTGTGGGGATCATACCAGCAACTTGACAGGGAGCATGAGGGCAATGGAGGCTGCTAGGTTGGGTTGGGTTGAGGGGCGAGGCGAGGGAGAGGCCCATCAAATGATCATCAACGCAGAGACGTCACAATCCTATAGGCCTCAAAGCCTAAACCAAGTGAGTAATGGGTGGTTGAACCTAGTAAGATTATATTCATTGTATAAAATACTATACCCCAAAAGGAGGATTGAATCTTACTCATGGGTACCATAATATCCCCAAATAAGATACTGCTCAAGTGTGGAGCATGCAAGCAAGCCGCATAGATGATCACGTCATGGCTCTCTTCTAGGAGGTGGGCTGCAATTAGTCCACTCATACCTTGTGGGTGGTTGTCAAAATGATGGTCCCTTTTTGGGTACCCTAAGTATAGGTCCCAGCCACCAAAAAAAACCACCGAGCATGATGATGATGATGATGATGATGATGATGCTGATGAGTATAATGATAATGAGTATGATGATGGTCATGATGATGAGTATGATGATGAGTATGATGATGATCATGATGACGAGTATG